GAAAATTGTGTGAAAGCGGAATATTGAATCCAAAGGGAATACTCAGTGAAATTGTGGAAAAAAGAAGACTGACCTTTCTATACGAATTAAGGAAAAATAGAAAATATATCCCGCGAATATATGGGAGGAGTCTATAGGTCACAATCAGGGATGTCACGGGTTGAGAAAAATGTCGGGTCGGGTTTCGGATCGGGTTTCCAAAATTTTCTTCGGATCGGGTTTCGGGTCGAAAAAAAGTCCCTTTTTCAGCGCCGCAGACGAAAATTTTCAGAATTTTGGAGGTCATTAAGCTAAAAATCTTCCCTTTTTCTGCGACGCGGGCGAAAATTTTGAAAAAACTCGGGTCGGGTTTCGGGTCGGGTTCTGAAAAATAAAAATTCTCGGGTCGGGTTTCGGGTCGGGTTTTAGAAAATTTCTCGAGTCGGGTTTCGTGTATCGGGTCGAAAAAAAGGCCGGGTTTCGGATTTCGAGTAACACGTGACATCTCTGGTCACAATATACTGAATAACCTAGTATATTTCGAGCCGATCGGAGTCTGTTCCCTTGAAATTAATTTTATCCTCAAACATCCCAATACATAAATTTTGCTGCGCCATAATTCAACGGTGTCGTTTTGTAATAAAACATCACTTCGCAATTGGAAGGAGATCTTCTATCGAATGATACCAAAAATATATCAAATTTGAACTCAAAGTAAACAACGTTCTCTTGTTTGTTTATAGCCATAATAACCCAAAAATTTAAAATTAAACTTGCAAAAATACCACCAACAGAGCACAGACAGCAATTATAGTTGCGCAATTACAGTAAGGAGCAATTAATGTTTTTCTCGCTCTACCTAAAGTGAAGAATAAAAAATTAAAAAAATAATTTTTGATACAAACACAAAAATTCAAAAGAATCCCCAGAAAATTTTTACCTACGGACATAGGTAAAAATTTTTTTGAAGTTAAAATAGTTCTCGCACCATTGCAAAACACTCAAAGCATGTCTAGCATTACAGGAATACTCGAAAAAACACACAACCATGGGACCATAAATTAAGTGCCGAATTCCAAAAACTATGTAGCAGGTAACAAAACTATCAGAGGTAAATGCCTAAACCGAATTTAAATGATAAGCAGATAAACTGATAGGATGATGAGCTATATAGCAGATCTATCTGGTCAGAATGAATGGAAGGATATGAACGTGTGAGGTGTCATTCGACTTGCTCGAAGTTGAGTCAAACTAGGGGCGGGAGAAGTCGACCGATACTTATACTCGATCGAAAATCTCAAAACCATAGGGTAAAAAACCCATACAACCTCATTTTTGAGTGAAAAAACGGAATTTGTAAATAATAGCTCAATCGAAAGAGCTCTTCGACTGAGTTGAATGACTCCTCATACATCCATATCCGTTCACTCATTAAAAATCGAAAACAAAATTTTCGGAAAACCAAACCCCAAATTTTAAACTAAACCTTGATGGATCATCCATTATTCACACAGGTTGGAAAACCATTGCCAAAATTCAAATCCACCTTCTGAATAATGAATAAATTGAAGAAGCATAGAAAACATGTATCTGAAAAAACAAATTAATTAAAAAAAATCAGGTGAGAGAATGCAAAAATTTTAGAAGGGAAACAGAGATAATCGAAAACATGAAGAAGTAAAGGAAGCCATTTTTGAATTTGAACAAAAGAATGGTTTTTCTCTCTTTCTCTAATCCCCTTACTATTTCATTTTCGTTGGGGCAGGACACTTTGTCGCGGGGGCAGGACACTTTGTCGCGGGGGCAGGACACTTTGTTTAATTTTCCTGGATAAATTAAGCTATCGCGAAACTATTTATTTAAGTGTTGCATTAGTCTAGCTTTCCAACTTTCATATTCATTAGGCGTATAAATTTTCCGAGACTTAAGAATAACCGAGTAAAAATGTGTTTTTCATTAAAAAAAGTTTTTAAAATGAATTCCCAATTTTTAAATTTATTTTAATCAAATTAAAAGTTTAAAAATTTTTATTAAAAAGTTAATAAAAACAAATTCCAGCTAGCCGGATTCGAACCAGCGACATCAGGATCACCGCTAAACAACTACAGTCCCACGCTCTACCAACTGAGCTATAGCTGGACATATTGGAATTTTTCTATTCTTCACTTTTGTAAGGCGGACTTTGATCCGGATGGGCAAGGATGGAGAAAAGGAACTTTAGTTCCTTTGGGAAAGGATTGAATAAGGGGAGGAGAATGACAAATAAGGCCTTAGGATAAAACTAAGTGGAAAATAGTGAAAAGCGGATCAGTCGACTGTTCAGCAGTCCGTTGGAAGGTAATCAATAGAGAAGTGAATAACCGGCCGAAGAAGCTGAGAGCTTATTCATTAATCCTGCAGAAGAAGCCTAGAGCTTATTAATCAGCGCATATTATTCCAGGGTAAGTCGGTCTCGTAACCGACCAGCATTATACAAGCGCATAGAAAGGCCTACCCTCCGCTCCGCTATATACTCATCGGCATCGCCTCTCGGGACCCTTAACATCGCACGCAACCCGCCCAACATCCCAATACCATCCTGGCCCAGCACAAGCTTTACTCTTTTGAATGTAAAAATTGAGAAAAATAAATGTTTTAAATTTTTTATAATTTCATATTATAAGTACATATATGTAGAGACATGATTTTTAGGCAAATGCCTGTTTTTTTCCCAAATAGGCCTGATGCTGAAATGTCCAAATCACGATTTTTATGAAATCTGCTTTCTAACTAATTTTGTAGTTTCCTAAAATAGATATTTAAACTTTTTTGGGAAAATGCTCTATTTTGCCTTTTTCAGCATATTTTGCATATTTTTACTAAAATTTGCGAATTTTAGGGCATTTTTTGAGAAAATTCTGTCTAAAAACTTGAAAAGTAATAACTGTAATAATAAGTTGGTGAAAAGTAATAACTAAAATTAGAAATGGTACAATTTACGAGGAAATCGTAAATTTTGAAGCACAAAAATTAGAGACCGGACGGTACCTCATTACGACGGTATTTTTCGGTATTCCGTAGCTTTAGTACTGTACGGAAACCCTATAAAATTTTTTCAAAAAATTGTTGTCAAAAAATTTTTTTGTGGAAAATTTTCTTCAGAAAAATTTATGAAATTATTTTTGAAAACAAAATAATTAATATAAATTAATTTATATGTAATTCTAATCGTCAAAATCAAGTTATTTAAGTGTTTATTGCTTAGATTTATCTTTTTTTGCTAAAATTTAGTCAATTTAAATCAGAAAATCTCGAAAAAATACTGCCTATTCTGCCTTTTTTCGTATTTTAGTGCCTATTTTATCAGTTTGATAGTGCCTATATAGGCGCCTATTTTAACTTTATCGTGCCCAAAAATCCTGTCTCTACTAATCATAAAAAGATTTAAAAAATGAAGTTTTTAATTTTTGAGAAAATTTAACATAAAAAATTTTAAAGATAAGCTCCCAAGGTGTAGTACAAGTACGAGTACGATCAAAAAATAAAGTTGGTGAAAAGTAATAATAAAATTAGAAGTGGTAGTAGTAGTAAGTAATTCCGGTCTCTACATAAAATGCAAATTTTTTTTCTAAAATCTAAATGAATCCATGTTTAGTTGTGTTAGATAAAATAATTTCCAAAATAAAATCGCTGTTTTTTCTATGGGTTTTCTTTAAAAATTCTTCACTCAGAATCACTATCAGACTCTACTACATTTAAATCAATCGCCTTCCCCTTTCGTTTAGGATCATCAGAACGCTGTCCTGTTTCATAAGCAGTTGAATGTTCTGGACCTGTTGGCTCTAAATATTTAAAATTAAAAAAAGTCAGGCGTGTCGGGCTAACACGGAACAGACAAGTCAGGGAACGACAAGTCACGGAATACTCTGCATGTACAGTATTGTTCGGTTTTAATTTTGCCAGCATTCAATTTTGCCGTTATATTAAGAAATTATTATCCAAAAATGATAAATGATGACCTTTGGAAACTACATAGATCTAAAACGATTAATTCTGAGGTTAGAACTAGAGTTCAGCGGTATCGGGATTTAGACAAAAAATCGGGAGCAAAATTGGTACAATTCTTTTTTTCATGAGATGCGACTGGACCGAGATATAGGTCCAAGTAAATCTAAAACCTATAGAAATTTTTTAAATTTGTTAACAAAATTTATTAAAAACCCGGTTCCGCAATTGGTAACTAAAATTGGATCTGGTTCCACTCCAAAATTCTCAAAATTTTCGCCTGCGGCGCAAAAAATAGATTTTTGGCACCTTCGACGCCACAAAGAAGTACATTGAAATGCACAAAATGCTCATTTGTCAGTGGAAACTAGAAATTATTAGAAAAGATTCATTTAGGAGAGAAATATGTATAAAAGATTTGAGCACAAATAAATATTTTCTAATTTAATTTGGAGTGTACTTTAAATTTGGAAATTTTGTCCCTATGTACTCTAAAATCGAAATTTTTGTACTCTTGATTGGCATTTTGACGATCGGAACCCTGTTTTAATCGCTTCAACATCACAAAAAGCATGCCCACAGAGGTTTTAGCCTATAGATTTTGTTCAGAATCGCCAAATATAACGATTTTGGTATCAATCTACCCAGTCTGGTAGATTGATATTTTATGTCAAACAAAAAAGCTCAAAATTAAGGAAACAGGAAAGAAGGGTGGGGGGAAGAACCGATGACTATTCAGCATCAAATAGTTAAAGTAAAAATAATTTATTACCACCAATTGTCAGGTTGCCAGATCTGCGAGGAGCATTTTGAGTTGACTCCTTTTGCGTAAGTAAAAACACTATGAAATAAATTTTTTTAGGTCTAAGAATTATCCGACCACATTTTATAAAAATGTAGTCGTTACGTTAAGTTGAATTTAAAAAATTTGCGAATTGGATCAAGTTTGAAAACTAGACCAAAAAACTTGGAGTATTGATAAAATTAGGATTATTATCGCTTTTGTATATGTTTTTAATATGTATATTTTAAGCAAA